AATGCCCATATATGCTACGCTTCCAATCCAACCTTTTCTAAATAATTGGGCATGTCCCCTAAACTTAACAACCTAGACAAATAGACTAGCTAGACTCCCCCCGAGTTTCTAAAAAACTCAACATTGATGGGTCATCATCCTTAGGGAACCCAGGGCCCTCGGGCATGGGAGGCACACTGACTGACTGTGCTACTACTATCTTGACCTTCTCAACATATATAGAGGCCCAGGACTCTACCTTTGCGGAGACCATGGCACTTCTAGAAGACCTCAAAAGGGTGAGCATGGTGGGAACCAACGGTCAAGGAATTATTGTCCAAGCTTATTCAAGCAACACCCTGCTTTGGGCCACCCAACAGAAACAACAACCTTGGAGGCTCACTTCAATATTTGAGAATATATCTTTCCTTTGCAGCTCTCTCCCTCAGCTCACCTTCAAACATATACACCGAGCAGCCAATGCGGAGGTAAATCGGTTGGCACAAGAAGGAGCTTCCCTAAGCTCATGAGCACAGCCAATTCCTTGACCTTCTTATCTTTCTTTTTTTCTTTTTCTCTCTCTTTCCCCAACTCCATACCCTCTCCCCCTTAAGGGCCCCATTGGGAGAAATAAATAAATAAATAGGAAAAAAAGGGGGAAAAAAAAATGGGGCAGAATTTTAGGGGTATTTTGGGGACTCTGCTGCTCAGGTCTCCAGCTTACCAACCCTCTTCTTATTTGCCCCAGACTTTTTCCCTTGTTCCTTTCTTTCAGTTTTCTTCTCTCACCCTTAACCTTACTCTCTAAGGCAGCCCAAAACACTCTCACTCTACTACCCAATCTCTGCAACCTCTTTTGTTCTATACCCTTATTCTCCCTATCCCAAATTTCTAACGGTGTTTTGTTACTATTTACTGCCCTGTTGCGAGAGTAATGGCATCTCCTCAGCCCTTCAAACAGGTATGTTTAAACCCTCCCCATCACTTACTCTTCTTTCTCTTTCTTGTCTCCATTCTCTTTTCTCATCCCATAGCAGTAAAACCCAAAAAAAAAAGGGGACTAAAGGGGATAGAAAAAAGGGGAAAAAAGAGAAAAGAAAAAAGAAAGAAAAAAAATTGTGGTGGGTAGTTTCCTTCTCTCTCTCTCTCTC